CCATGGTCATTTATAAACAGTGAAAGAGATTCAGGCACTCATTCTGTACAGTTTCACAGTAAGTAGGAAAAGAAAATCCAGCTCAGATTTCACATAATGAATGTGAAATATGACCTCACTGTAGACACTCCAAAAGCTTCAACTTCAAGTGTTAAACTTGCTGGAAAACAAATTTTAAAACCCCATGTTTTCATTATCAAATTATATGAAAACAATTTTTTTTCTATTTGAAAGAGTTCAAAGAAAGCTTGTTGATTTCAAACAATTATTTTCTGTGTTTTGCTCCATAACATTGAGTTTTCATGGTCTTTTGCTTTTCATTAGAGAATGAATCTGTAACTAGCAGCTGATTTAGAGCTGGTTTTTAAGCCTAAAATTTGATTTTACATGGATAGTTTTGGTTTTTTTCTGTGTGTTGTGAGTCAACCCTGCTTATAACCTGGTATAATCTCAATTAAATCCTGAAAGACAAACAGACACTGTGCTGCTTCTGAAGCATTTTAAATGGATTCAGATGCATTAGGAGAAAAATAAAGTAAGAGAATTCATAGTGAGTAAGTAATGACTATGCTTCGGTGTACACCAGTTTTCATGCTGGCCTGCAAACATTATAATTTAAGTACTTTCGTAATGGAAATTTGAAAGTTCATTATCTTTGCTTTTCGAAATTCAGAGTCTAGAGACCTTTAAAGTTAGACCTGCCTATGAAGAGGGAATGTCAAGGAATTAATTTCTTTTGAACTAAGGACCCCAAACCTTTCAAATTTAGACACCCAAATAATATGGTGGGAATCTAAGCTATGTCTCCTACAGTAAAATACTGTAAACACCAGTAAATGAAATCATATTAGCTTAGCCCAGATTGTTTAAAAAATCATTTATTAGTGAAATAGAAGCTATGAGGTGTTCTTATATTTCACAGGAGAAAAAAAAAAAAGACTGTAGAGAGAAAGAAAAGCAGAATATACTGCAATTTTAACTTGGCAATATAAAATTGTTGTCAAAGAAACAATACCAGCTAGTTTTTGCAGCAACATTATAGAAGACATATTAAATAAAAGCAAAAGTAAAATTTCTTTGCAAACAGAATCCTTACAGTAGTATAAAATACAGAGTGCAAGAGTAAAGAGAAGGATTTAAAAATACTCCAGTCCTTCGCACTTCAACTATTTTTGTCATAAAAGTACTTTGTGTCTGCTTTTCTCTACAAGTTCTAGGTAAGTAAAACCACAAAATTTTAAAAAACTAAGATTATGGGGGTTTTATTGATAAATTTTCTTTCTAAAAATAATTTTTAAATAATACTTTTTTTCCACCTCCCACACCATGGCACCCTAAAAGAAGGTCAACTTTTCTCCTCTCTTCCAAAAATGCAGACATTTACAGTCTCCTTTATTGACTCACTTCCAAGCTCATAATCTTTGTTTGCCACTAAAACAAGACAGCTGTGTTTTTCTGAAAGACTCACACTGTGGGCAGGTGTTGATCCTGCTGGGGAAAGAATTAAATATAATTTATGACAGCCAGGCATATGAGCTGTTTTTACCTTATCCTGTTGAAAGAAGGCAATAGAAACTTTTCTGACAGAGAAACCAGACAACTGGTTTGATAGCCCACAAGGAGAAATTCTTTGGATCAATCCAATATCAGAACGTGATTTCCTTGGATTCAATGTTGTATAAGAGTTTGTTACCCAGGTTGATATCTGCTAAAGTATTCTATGTAAAGAATCTCCTGGGAACAACTCATGGGAAATAGCAGGTGTAGTCTGGGTATGGAGAGGGGAATATAGATATAGAATTTAGTTGTGCATTACTGCACAGAAGTGAACTTAAGGCAACTTCAGGTTGAGATGGCTGTAACAATCTTTGCCTTCTGATTAATTTTCTTTGATTGAAGGACTCATTTTGTTCAGCATCCAACCTTGTACATGGACTTATTCTTAGCAGAGGGGTCTCAGGTTTGCTACTTCTACAACTGACACAGCATCACTTATTATTTGGTACACCTTCTTTCTTGGCTTCTGCATTGTGTAGAGCTTAGCTGAAAGTAAGTTGACTGCTCTTTGAAATGTTTAATAGAGAATTTGATACATTGTGATCCTATTCCGATGTCAGCTCAATTTTTTTCAGTTGCTCTCAAAATTATTTTGTTGGATGTTTGAACCTTTTGATTGAGACAACCATAGCTGTAGTAGTCAGACTATTGTGCACTATATATATTTGATTATGTTAAAGAACATTGCCAAATTAAGGAAGTAGCACATACGTATATTTTCAAATTTTAACTATAGCATTTACCAGAGCTATGAAACAGAAACTCTTGTAACAAACTTTTAGGAGAAGTTTAGTCTCATGGAGTCTGCTTCTGCATTACTCCTTATGTTCCTCAGATTGTACTAAAATGTCTCATAATCTTGGTTAACAAGGGACCATATAAAACTTGTCAACTTGTTTATGGTAAAAGGTGCACTTTCAGAGGAATAAGGTGACAGCAAAAAAGTCTACACACAAAGCTTTGAGACACATAAATTTGACCTTTGTCTCAGTAATATTCTTGAAGTGAATATATAGTAAGGTCCCTTGAATAGCATTATGTTTTAAATTGATACATTAAAGCAGTTACAATGAAAAAACAATTTCCACGTTTCTTGACTGTTGTGATTTTAAAATCTCAGTCTTGTGTTTGAATAAAGTAGACTTCTGCTGTGTCCTTGAAATATGAATTTCCTAATGAAACCATGAAAAAGGATATGCCGCTATTGTAGTTTTGCTCCTGCTGAGAAAAATAATTTTTACCTCGGCTAAACATGATTGTTTTGTTTTTTTTTTTCATGTAAAAATGCTTATTATAGTATGTTAATATTCATAAGAGTTCTTTTAGCATAATTATAAATTATCTTATAGTCGGTTTAATTTATCCAATAATTACAAGCCTGCTTCCCAATAAAAAATTTGCTCTAAATAATTGTTTTTAAAATGTGGGAACTATCAAATGGAACATAAAATATATAGCAAAATATATCAATGGTTCTTTGGATAAAATATGACTACATGATTAATGTATCAAAAGTGCATAGCATAGACCTTAAAGTAAATGTTGTATCTGCTATACGTAAATGAACTAGGGAAACATAATTGTATTTTCATATCTTATTTTTCAGAATTTAAAGGACTTAAATCCAAACATATGTCAACATACAGACACACATACACACACACACAATCATATATATGATTTTGCCTGAACACAATTAAATGAATTTTTTTTCATTCATATTTCCCCTTATTATCTTAGGACAAGTAAATGAACAACCAAATCTTTCTTTTGCTGGTTCTAGAAGTTACACAGATGTTATCCAGAGAGGTTTATAGGGGAGTTCCTCTCTAGCAAGACATTCCATTGCTAAAACCTTTACTTAGGCTTCTACATCTCTTCCAGTAATTCCCTTTTGTTTGCTCTCTTTTAGCCTTATGTCTTTCAGTCTGCACTTACAATGTACCGTTACTTTTGAAGAATCATATGTGAACTGAGGTGAAGTTTCTCTTAACACAAATGTTGGCATTTTCAGTTTAAAATTATTTGATTTAAAATGAGGAACAATTTCGGCTTCACCCTAACAGTTAAATAGTCAGCGCTTGTATAAGTTTATGTGTCTGTTTGTGAGTCTAGGTATACTTATATATGGGATCAGAAAATGGGATGTAAAGAACCTTGCTCAATTTAAAAAGCTCTGGAAAACCTCATATTGTCCTCCTCTTCAGGGATTCTTGGAAAATTTCTCTTTAGTGTAATTAATTTAAGATTATTAAACTGTGCCATTCCATTATTATTACTTTAAAGTTTGTTTACTTTATGCCATAAAGTTTATTTACTTTCACTGTATGCTTAGGACATTCTTCAGCACATAAACTCTGTAAGGCAATGAAGAGTATTGAGCAGGTGTCAATTTTCATCCTCTGACCAGCCTCTGACTAGTGGGTTGTCCTTAAAAACATACTCCAGGGAAAGGGAATTTGAATTAATGCTTTGCAAGAAATTGATGGTTGGCATATATTCTGTATGGATTCTCACCATTTTAGAAGACCAAACATAGAGCTCCTGATGGCACATAGGAATTTACTTTGCTTCATCTGCAGAATTTGCTATGATTTGTTTAGTTAGTGTATTTTCCTATTTTTTAAAATTTTATGTGTATATTTAAAAGTTCTAAATATATATTTTTGCATCAAATAACTTACAGTAATGCTCTCATTTTTAATATTACATTTATTCTCAAAAATTTTGACTGTTTTAATTTTTTGTTATTGATTAAACCTAATATAATAAACCAAATATTTCCAAATTTTCTAAAAGATATCTTGAATGTTACTTTTATGCTATATTTTAATGTTGCTGCCTTGTCAGGAATCTCTAGGATACTGCAGCCAGTTATGAAAATGAACTAATGAAAATTTTAATTTTATGTAAGTACAAAAAAACCTTTTTCAATAAATGTTACAATAAAAAAAAAGAATCAATGGAATTCACTGTTTTAGGTACAAAACAAATATGTCATTTATCAGTCTATTTTAAAGTAAATTAAAAAGAGAAAAAATATATGAGATATGTATATATGTAGTCTCGCCACAGAAAAATATATATACTTGTTTCAATGGAGTAATTTTTAAAGTTGAAATAATGTTATAGCTGCTGTATCTCTTATGAAATTTTTAGGCTTCTTGAGATTTTAGTGTTTCAGGAAGTTCAGATGATTTCTTATATAGACATATATAGATGACATATGGATACTCTCACACAGTTCATCAGATGTATATACAACTGTCATAAATAACATCTGTGGACTGTAAAGCTGTTAAGGTCTTTGAAGAGAGCAACATTTTCATGTCACCAATATAACTACAGGGACTAGAGGAAATTGGTTATTTGCTCTCATCTCCCCTTTAACCAAGTAACCTGTTATATAGGATTTATATAGGATTTTCTCTTTTCTTTTATAGAATATACGGAGAGAATTCTTACCATTTGGTACTATGACTCTACCGCTCAAAAGTAGCCAGAAAAGGTGAGACAGCTCAATTTCTGTTCAAATACTTTGACTGGCAAGATAAGATATCTGACTGCTGCTAATAGTAGCGTATAAAATACTCTTGCTTAAACCTATCTTCTACAGTCCTCTCAGTGATAATGGGGTCCTGTAGATGGGCCTCCTGAGACTTTTAACTATCTGAATTCACAAGAGTTAATATAATTAATTTCTGAAGTCTTTAATAATAAGAATACCCACTGAGAATTTTTAATAAGTAGACCCATTTTATGCTCTGGTGTATTTTAATTCATATTAGGCTTTTTTTTTTTTTTAATTTAAAACAAGAAATCAGCAGTGCTAGCAAAGGAATGTCTATCTTATATTCAAGTATACTTTTCTATGTCTCCTAACACTCTTGTGAAAAAAAAAAATAGTACTAGAAGAGATCAGAACAAAATTTCTCTCAAAATTCAGCTAGTTGTTAGGTAGCAGATTATAGTGATATACACTATATGGTCCCAAATCCTGAATTCACTGTTATAGAGGAATACTATAAGGTCTTTACCAGAAGGACATTTTAGAAAATAGCAGAATAACTCAGTAAAGAGTTAGAGATGTTTACAGTTGGAAGGCTTGCTGAAAATAATGCCTCTTTTTGTAAAAGCATTCCCTTGGGAACTTTCCTCACTGCTGTTTAACCATAAAATTAACATCTCATCACATAATTTGGAAGTGTTATAGCACAGAAGCTTTATGCCATCTCCCATTTCCAGATGTAATATGGCTGTGAACAGTTATTACTGAAAGACATATAATGATGTCCTGAAACACATTTAATGAAAGTCCAAGCAGAGTAGTTGGCAAATGTAGTTGATTATATGGCACTAGATGTGAAATATGCATTAGCTTAATTATGTATACTAAGCTTTAATAGATTCAATTTGAGGTTATCTATAGTCTACTTTACGTAGAAAATCAAATCAGAATGCAGTGTTGAACTCAATAATGCACGACATTTCATTTTCACTAACAAACATAATGCAGTTTCAATAATCTTTAAGGATTTTGAGATTATTTATAAAAGAAACACAAAAGATGCTATCCAAAATGCGCATGCATAGGCAGATCATGAGGCTGTTCTGGAACTCAGAAACTCAGGAAGACAGAGAAAAGTTGATTAACATCTTGGGGCATATTTTTGAAGTACTATAAAAATAATCAGTACTTTCTCAGTACTGCTGAGAAATAGAAAGAAAAGCAAACAGGTTTGTCAGGGATATCACATAATGTTTCATTTTACAAACCAGCATCTTCAGCCTCATGTCAGCAATAAACTGAGCTGATAAACATGGAAGTAATCTCTAGATCAAGAACATATAGAAACCTATATTTTTCTCATTGGTGAGTGGGAAAATCAGAAACAACTATTTCATTTTATCTTTAGGACTAGAACAGGGGGCAGTGAATGAAATTGAGGACGGCATGCTCAAGGAAAAATAAATAGCAATTTTTTGCTCATTCTTTTTCTTATGCTGTCATGTCTGTCTCATAAATTAAACAGTGGTACATATGTGTTTCTCATACTCTGTACACTTAATATGTACATAATTCCTCATTAATCTCAGGAAAATAATCTGAAATAATCATTGTTGTGTTATAGACACTGCATTTACATAGCTTTTTTTTTTTTTTCGAAGAACCTTAATGTCACTAATAATCTGCTTTATGCAGATAAATAGAAATGGGGAAAATTATCCCCAGTGCCTTTGGAGCAAAGAATTTGAAAAGCCAGGCATAATTTACATTGTCACCCATTGTACTTTTCAGCACTGAAACATAAAATGTCTTTCAAAAACACAGAAAAATTAAGAGTAGAATTAAATTACAGATATAAACCCCCAGATTCCTTCACATGAATTCAGAAATTTAAATGATTTATCAATTAGACAATGATTGATGAAGATTCCCATTGAACTCAACGGAAAGAGATAAACACTCCCAACATCATCTTATAATGTTATATGTGTCCCTACTTTGACTTTATTAATAGCTGAAGCAAAGCAGAAAAGTACAGTTAAGTTTTCAAAACTAATTTGAATGAACCCAGACTTTAGCCTTTTTTATAAAAACTGGCCTATTCTCTTCCAGTAAGCATGATTACTGACACATTTTCCCAGTTCAGTGGTATGAAGCAAAGCATAGTATGGCTTTTAAAATTTTTTTTTCATCACTGATGATTGTTACACCAGACTTCTGAATTTCTATATACCCATATATCAAACTTCCCAGATAAGGGAAACATTATTCCAATGTGTAATTTAATTCCCAATGTGCAGAATTTTTGCCATTAGCACAGGCAATTATGTAAAAATGTTTCTGTCAGTCATCTGGAATGTTATCTTAAGAGTATGGAACTGAGGCAGCTATAAATTACGAGTAAATCTGATCACGGAATAGAATGTCACTTATTTCACTTTTTGAACTACTTGGAACATTACTTACTATTTTATTTTTTTTTTAATTTTTTAGATGAAGGTTGTGTGAAAAAAAGGTGTGATGTGGAGCTAAGCTTACATGTGAGCCTTGTAAGGCTGTAAGCAACAGTAAAAAAAAATCACCATCTCAAGCTGTAAGAGAAGACAAGTTCAGTAGACTAAACAGACTGCAAAAAAAGTACTCCATATTTGTTTATAGAAATCAGATAGAGAAGCCTTACTTGAAAGTTTTGACAAATTTGTAATCATTTCACACTTTCAATCCAAAATATAGAGCAAGTACAATAATAGTTTATACCCACTATTTGAATAGTGATATTTAAATAGTGGTAAAAATAAATGCTTGTATTTCCTTCTATGTTGCTATTTGACTTGTAAATTGGCCCTTTGTTTTAAATAAAATCCAGAGGAGAAAATTTATTTAAATATATTTTAGTCTTTTTCTTCTGTTAAGGGATTTTTTTCCCTGAGATTTTCTGAAAAGAATAGTTTCACTGTACCAAGGGTACCAAGGGACTATGTTATCAGCCTGGCAAAATAACACACATGCACAGAACTTAAGGACTTCAGTTCTTTCTTTTTTGATCTTTTTTTTTTTTCTCATTTTCTAGTGGCTTTGTATTAATGGCAGACTTCTCTGGCATTTCAAATCTTCAAGTGCAGAATCTTGGTGGAAGAACATGCTATGCCAGTTTAAGTCTTCTTTTTTGCCCTGCTTTTGTCAGAAATATATTTCGGCTTATTTCAGCTGTGCTTTTAGAAGTATAATATCTTACAATAGGAAGTGGAAAATTTTATAAAAGATGGGTATTTCTGGATGTCATTCCTAATATGCCTCCCTCTGAGTCTGACAGAGGTCACTTTTCAATAGAAGTCAAGTATGTCAGCTTTTAAAAGAAAATGCACAGAGGAGATAATCTTAACAAAATAGTTACATTCTAAGGTTCAGTGAATATCAACTGGTGTCTTATATAGTTGCTTTACCAGAATATAGTAGGCATATAAAAAGAAGATGTAAATTAAATGTAGGTAAAATTTGCACACTTTGTGATATATTGTAATGGTCCTTACATTTGAGTTGGACTCTGAGGAAAACAGTGCATGAGATTCTAGAAAATTACTGTTCTTTAAAATGAATTCAAGGAACTGAAATGAAGAGAAAAAGTACTTCATTATGAAAAGATGATTCTCAAATATATACGAAGTGAGATGATCCTACAGTTTTCAATTTGGGGAAACTAGCACTCTATATAAAAATATACTTCACTGAAGCAAAGTTACTACATATTAAATCATTCTGTTTCTTTAAAATAGTCCCTTCATAAAGTCAGTTACTTCCAAGTAGTTGTTAAATTACTGCCTATTTAACCCTAGGGATTATTTCAAGTCCTGCTAGGTATTGTTCATATAAATTACTGAGAAGTGACATTATCAATAATCAGTTTTCTAGGCTCTTTTCCTCTCTTTTACAGTTTTTAACATTTTTGGGGGGTTTTTTTGGGGTTTTTTTTTGTGTTTTATTTTTTTTTTCTTTATCTTGGAATAATGTCTTTTTTTACAGAATTATGACTTTATAGTAGTATTCTCTATTGAGAAAATTATATTCGTGGAAATATTTGAGATGAATACTGGTGGGACTTTACATATAAAGAACTTACCACAGAGTCTTCAGTGAGGGCAGAAAAGTTGTATATATTATCTCTAGTTGCTGGATATCACAATTTCCAAGTCTTCTTCCCTGGTATTCCTTTATAATTTGGATCACAGCATCTTGTCTGTGAGTATATGGATCTCTCTTGATAAGGAGTATCAGCATTGTCAAAAAAAATTTTTCAGTATGTAACAGCTGTCACAAAATCATTTTCAGTTCTTGGAAGTATTTTGATGTCAATTGCAAGTATAAATGCAAGTAGTTCTGAAAATGTTATACACAGTGCTGCAAGTTTAAAATGGCAGAATCCTTTTCCAGGGAAGAATTTGTTTGGTGGGCATTTCACTCTGTCAGCTGTCTCTGTTAGCATATTATTGTTTTCCCTGCTTTATTTATGAATTCATTAGTTCATTAGAAATGCCATCTTCAGGCAGTTGTCTCATAATTTTAAATTGTGTCCAGATCATCTTAGATAAACTGTTCTCTCTTCATGTAAAAGGAACACAGGAAACTTAGTTTGAGTACAATAACAATTTTTCAACAATGACAGAAATCAAAGCATAGTGAATAAATAAATTAACAAATAAGCATGCAAACCCCAAAGTGTAAATAACCAGCAAAATCATCATTCTCTAAGTTTTTTCTAGGGAAAGGTTCTAAGAAAAAGCAGCTCACATCAAGATTACCTGTAACCTATATGAGTGACCAAAGCAATCATGCTTGTAGTTGTAGCTATATCACAGTGACTTCTCTCTTCTTTTCAAGAGACGCGTGCTTCTTTTTTCTTTTTTATTTTCTTATTTTTTTTAAATAATGTACAACGAGGTTCATTTAAAAGAATACAGAAGAAAGGAAAGGGAAACATGGAAATACTGCAGATACAGACAATT